ACAGCAGCTGGAGAAAGGAGGCAGACTCCAAGTAGAGAGACATGTTCAGTCTATTGAAAGCATCTAGGTGAGAGAGGATGGTAGCCAGAAATAAGAGAACAGCAGTGGAGGTGGAGGAAGTAGAAGAAAGTTGTGATCTATCTTGTCAGTAATTAACAGGCCATGTGTTTTGAGTGGATGGGGCATTTTTTACCTGTGATGAGCCATACCAAGTACTTTATATGAATTACCTTTAGGCTTCACAAAACTTGGCAAAGTTATTCTTTTCCCCCCAGATTATTAAAAATTGTTAAGTAACTTGATCAAGGGCACAGAGTTAGCACCTTGCAAAGTCAACTCAAGAATAAGTCTTCCTGACTACAAAATCAACTCATTTCACTAAACCATAGCTTCAGATAAACATATTTAATGATCCCAGTAAGTACCTCAGGACTGATCACTTCCAAACATTTTTTTTTTACTGCAATCTGCATTAAGAAATCTATAAATTGTGCCCTGTACCTATTGTGTGTGTGTGTGTGTGTGTGTGTGTGTGTGTGTGATGTTATCCGAATCTAGTTGATTCTGATTGAATAATGAGGGTTCAAACATCAAGTTGGATAATACGAAATACTATGTTAAATTGAACTTTATAATTTGTGAGTTTCAGATAATGTCATATCAAGAGTTTGGTAAGGTATTTTTCTGAAATGTTATAGAGTTTTCTTCTGTTCTTCCAAGAGGAAGAATTTGGATGTTATAGAGTGCCTTTCTTTGTATAGAGTAGCAGCAAGGCATGATTATCCTTATGAATGTTTTACTCTTTTATTAATTTACTCTTTGTGAATCTCATGCGTTTTTTTGTATGTGGATCATATTTTGAGATATTAACTTGAGGGATTTGCTTTTGTGTGCTCCCCTTTGTCCTTTCCTTCATTCAAGCTCTCTATAAGTCAGTTCCAGGAAGCAGGCACGGAAAGCAAAAGTCATCTTTCCATCTTTTGTTTTTACAGAAACATAGTCCCCAAAGAGAATGTAAAGGTTTTACAGTGACGAAGAGTAAGAGAGTGCAAGGACAAAGGGGCGTGTGCAAGAATAGTCCGCTGGGCTTGGAAGAAATAGACAGCAAAGCGTCTCACCAGACTAAAGGAGGCACACTGCCAAGCTGGGGCAGAAGGAGAGAAAGGAAGAGACAGAGAGGAGCACACAGCGAGAGTTGTTGCATCCTAAATAATGGCTTCTCAGTAGTACCCTCTGGAGGCGCCATCACCCTAAAGAGGAAGGGCAGTGTGCTATGTCAGGCACTTGGGGCCACAGGCAGACAGACCTAGGTAGACGCTCCTATAACGTGTTGAACGGAATCAATGCAGAGTACTGTCCCTGCTGGCACCGCAGGGACATGTGAGTCGGGCCAAAGACTGCCTCAGTGGTGACCTGGAATGGTGGGCCTGGAGTGGTGACCTTGGCCAGTGGAAAGCCCAAGGCTATGTGAGTGCATGGATGCCTGCATGCCCTCTCCCCACCACCCCCACATAAGAGCAGGGAACATGGCATCTTCCTGGAATTAGGAGGGTACAGATAAAAGCCTCAGAAAGGGTGTGAGTTCAATGTCTCACCAAGTGGGTGAAGACAGAACTACACTGGTTTTTGAAAGGTGAAGAGATAGGTTTCTTTCACAATTAATGGAGGGATTTATATATGCAGCTACATAAATTCATATAAATACATTTATGTTATATGCTATAGAAGTATTAGCCTAAATATCCTAACTAGATCCCAAAAATCTCCAGGGAGGGAAAACAGAAATAAGGTGAAATATTTTTTTACAAAAATAAGAAGTTTGTGGTATTGAAATAGCAATCAGATAGATTCTTCTTGTAAAAAAAAATAGACAAAAATGATCTGCTTTGTTTCCCACTGAAGTTCATCACTTTTGACCCAAGACTCCATATATGTGTCAAATTTAAAAAACAAAACAAAACAAACAAACAAACAAAAGCAGACCTTAAACCATGGCCAAAACAAGATTTGGTGAAATGGTAAACTAACTGGAAACTCTTTTATTTTTTTCTTTCATTGCTACTTCTTTTAGCTAGTTTCTTAAGGATTGCTCTAATGAGGTGTGTGTGTGTGTGTGTGTGTGTGTGTGTGTGTGTGTGTGTATGTGTGTGTGTGTGTTCCTGTAATCTTATGATTTCAGTAAGTGAAGACTTAATAAATGATGCCACAGTAAGCTCATACTCTAGTTAAACCAGAGACTAGTGAATCAATCTTTTAAGAAGAAGAAGAAAATGTCTAAGTCTGTCTCTCTTGAAGATTTCCTCCTCTGACTTGCCTGACTGATGAATCCGGCATATAAATACACTGCCTCAGAATTGTTTTCTCACTGATGAGACGTTCTTGTCCTTCCAGGCACCAGAATCTTAATTTAAACTAGTTCCTGTGAAGATCAAAAAAAAAATGTATCCAGTGTATTTTTTCCCTCTTGCATTTTACAAGGCAAAGAAATGCAAGCTAGGAGCAGAATAGACATTCTGTTGTTTTCTATTGTGCATCGTATTGCATTCCAGATGAAATGTGAGTCCAAAGTTTTTAATTCATGGACTGTTTTCATGGATGAGCTCCACTTCCTTTAGACATTGACTTTTTTCCTGGAGTTGTGTCAAAGCGGTTAATGTCTTTGATATTTCCTAAAAGCAGTGCTTCCAGGCAAGGCAGGCATGTTTTCCCCGCCCTGTTCCCCAGCTTTATTGAGGTATAATTGAAATGAAAATTGTATGTATTTAAAGTGCATGGGTTAGGTGCAACTTAATGTTTTGATGTATTTATGCAATGTGAGTTAATCACCACAATCAAGCTAATTAACATATCCATAGCCTCTTATAGTTACTATGTTCTTTGTTTTTTCTTCCTGTGCCTGTGTGGTGAGAACATTTAAATCTGCCCTATCAGCAAATTTCATCTACGTTTCCTTTAAGGATTTCCAGCTTTGGGAGCTGCCTTGTCACAAACACCCTCCTTCCCTTTGGAAACAGGATCTCTCTGGTTTCAGGTCCCCTTCCTGAACAGAGTCCATCTTTTCTTTTACATGTGAATATTTTATATGCCCTCAGTGAGTATCAGGGTTTCTATGGGTATTTTGCAAAGGGCACAGCTCTGATAAAAGTTGAACTCACATATTAATATTGTTGACCTAGGAAGTCAAAGATGTACTGGAGGGAAACAAAATGTTTTTTTTTTAAACATATCTACCGTAAATGTGGCAGATAATATGCAGTAACATCACAAAACAAATATGTTATTTTCCAGTGGGGCTAAGTAGACCAAATCAGTTATTTGGGTTAAATCTAATAGGTGAAAAATCTGCTTTTCCTCAAACTGTAGAAATAATGTCTCTGGCTTGAACTGAGCAAAAATAGACCCTCTATTCAAATAAGAATTAGTTCTGCTATCTTCATCTGCCATCCGGACTCATCCTACCAGACTTCTCAAAGCCAAAATATCTCAGAAGTCTCTTATTCAATTTGCATTTGGAAACTCAAAATGTATTTGACATTTTTATTTCTATCAGTTCTGTTTAAATTGGGTCAACATTTGTTGACTGCCCGTGATGGCATTTTTATTAAGCTTGAGGATGCTAAATTTATCCAATCCAAATGTAATGGCTGGAGTTTTGCTATCTGTTAACCAGGAGACCCTGGGCAAGTTTCTTAGCCACCTGCAGCCTCAGTATCCTAGTGCATAAAATGGGAAGAAGAAAAAGTGGAGAAGGATCTAGATCAGAGAATTGCTGGGGTGATTGTAAGAGATAATTTTAATGATCGCAGAGAGGTGCTTGATAAAGTGTTGCTAATTTTATTATCTCTGCGTACACTATAGTTGCTAGACATTGGGGGATATAGGCCCAAAGAAAATCAGTTCTCCCTTTCAAGGAGCTCACTGATTCATGGGAGGGGTGAGACACACGTGGGTAAGCAGTGGGGTATGGCCAGTCCCAGTACGAAGGCCATACTAGAAGTCCCCAGAGCAGACTAGTGGACAATAGAGAAGGAAGTCAGTTCTCACTGATATTAGGATATTAGGAAAGGTTTCCTGCAGAGACAACATTGTTCAGGTTTTGAAGGATGAGGTGGGTAGTGTTTTGAGGGAGGGGAATGGAGAAAGGGGAGTAGGGAAATGGCCGTGTGCAAAAAGACACTAAGTTGGCAAAATACTGTCCCTGGAACCTAATAGAATCCCAGCAATAATAACTATGCAGGAATAAATGAAAGCATGAGAAGTATATGGAAGTCTCAAACTAGTATGTTGGCATCTCTTGTTTTAAGTGGTGGTTTGCATATTCCAGAAAGCCTCTCAATAATTGTGCTGAGTTAACGCTGTCGTTCAAAACCAGAATGCTTTGGGGGGCTGCATGGTATTGTGTCTTCCCAACAAGGAGAATAACATTTGAATCTAATTGTGCCACCCATGCTCTTATGGTAAAACATCCTGTCCTAACACCCCTATAGCAAAGGAAAGTTCAGAGGAGCCAGCCGAGCAGATGCAATGCTTTCTCCCTGATACATCAGTTTCAACTTCTAGGTTCACCAACTTCTTTGAGCTTCTTTCTGTAGCGTGCTGTGCTCATTCATCAGCCTGAGTCATTTGATCTGATTGGGTCCACTCTCCCCCTCCTTGGCACGCCTCCTTTTGCTGCTGAATAAATCATCCTGGGATATGTCCAGGAGGATTTTCATAGGAAAGTTCCATCTGCATCCAACCCCTCATTTATTCAGGCTGAGTTCTCAGGCTCCCAAGGAGAAAGAATTGAGAAAATAAAGAAGTGCCTTCCTCTGCCAAGTATACTAATATGGTCATTAGCACAGATGACTTGGGGCTATGTGGGCAGAGAGAGGACACAGCTGCCCACACATGCTGCCTTGGGGTCTGCAGGAACCTCCCTCCCGCACCCAGCCCTCTCCGTGCTTGGGCTCCCTCCACAAGTCAAGACTTAATACTCACCCCAGGATTTCAGGATAGCTGGTGAGGCTGATGAGTCCAAGGGATTTGAGGAGGAAGAAGCAAGCAGCCTTTCATTCTCAGGGATATAGAATTCCGGGAATTATTTCACATCTAGATAACTGCAAAACTGGGGTTGTTGTTGTTTTTTTTGGGGGGGTGCTTTGCCCTTAACTTCCAGCTTCATGTGATAGGCCCTCTAGCTACTCTGGAAAATCCTTACAGTTAAAATAATTCATCTACAAACTGGGTTAAACACGGAATCGACCTTCTTTCTATTTCAAATTGAGCATTTAATTTTGTTCTCTTTATTGAGGGATGGTGGAACACAACTCGAAAGGACTGAGGTAAAGGAGTCATTTCCAGGATGTACACCACATCCCAGAAATCTACTGTTTGGGGGTCTGGGGGAAACGTTAGAGGCTTCTTCCCTCTTCTCCTGGGATTCGCTGTGCAAGGCCAGTTCTGGGTGTAAACCGAACCCCGTGTGTGTGGAAAAGGAGGAATTAAAAGGAAAGATTTAAATCCCGTGTTTCAGGGACAAGGTGGATAGAAATCACCCTGGAGGTGGTGGATGTGGTTGGGAGGGGGACATCCGGAGCTCTTCTGCTCAGTGCAGGCAGGGGGAGGGGACTTTCTCTTCGCGAGGGCAGAGGCAATGGGTCGCTCTAGACTAAAGGGACAGAGAGGACGGCGAAGCGATCATTTGGGCTTTCTTGGGACGCCACGGGGAGCCGCGAAAGCGCCCAGGGCCTGACGTCATTGGCCATCAGCTGACTGTGCTCAGGGCCCCGGTTCCACCGGCTGCAGCCACTGTCGCGGTGGCGGAGGTGGCGGCCCCCGCGGCTCCACCACCTGCAGCCGGGCTCGGGATTGCGGCTGACCCTGCACCGGGAGCCCCTGCTCAGCCCGGCGTGGGCGCGGACAGCACGCCCCCAGCGTCCCCAGAGGCTTTGTCCACATCCGCGCGCAGGAGCTCAGCGGGCGGGAAACCGTGGCTCCGGCTGGAGGCTGGAAATACCTCCCCCAAGTCCTCCTCTCGACCCTTCCTATAAGCAGAGAGATACTTGGTGTGCGACGCAGTCGGGGGCGCGCTTTCCACCCCTCCAGACTGGTGTAGTAAAGAGACTCCGCAGGAAGCCGCCTGACTCCGCAGGAAGCTGCTGCTTGGGGTATTTTGCTTTTCAGCCCAAAAGTTGGCTTTGCCAAAAGACGCCCCGGCGGTGAGGGCAGAAAGGAGATCCTGAGTTCCGCGCATTGGGCTCTCCGAGTCCGTGGGCAAAGCGGCCTACGAGTCCTGGCTGCGCACCTGCAGAGGACCGGAGCCAGTGCCTAAAAAAGAACAGCGGAGGAACCGGCCTGCGCTGCCAGCTGGAGCGCGGGATCTGTGCGCCCGGGCAAGGCGGGGGGCGCTGCCGCCCGCCCCAGCCCGCAGCCGTACCCTCCCACGCCGCTCTGCTAGTTCTGCTGCCTTCAAGACCTGGGGTGTCCGGACCAGACCTGGGTGCCAGGTATCCGCCGCTGCCCCTACCCGACCCCCTGTTCCGGGGGTGTGGCTTGGCGCGAGGGCGGGTTTTAGTCGCCGTGGGTGTCTCAGCGATCTGACAGGTCTCCAAATTCCTCCCGGTCGCCTGGTGCCCGCAGCGCACTTCAGAGCGCCAGGGTGGCACGCGGCGCTTCCCTGGACCCCGAGGCGTCTCAGTGGACTTCCCGGCGGCCTCGGGCCTCCTTTCTCACCCAAACCTGACACCCGCCGCACCGCCCAAGCTCGGATCCGCACCGGTGGCTTCTCTTCGTTCTCAGAGCTGTTGACTTTGGAGCCCACCCCACTTTTTCCTGCTCCCGCTTCCCGCTTCTCCCAGCTCCTGGCCAAATGGACTCCAAAGAACGAAGTGAAAGGAATGGGAACCGGGTGTTGCACCTCCTCGGGGGCGCAGCTGGAAGGGGTGGCCTCGTCTTATAGCAGAGACTGGGACCCTGAGGCCCTCCCCCTGCCCCGAGGGATGCGTCCGGCCGGAGCCAGCGCTGCCCTATCAGTCCTCGCTCAGGAAGTGGAGACAGCCAGAAATGAGACCAGAAGGGTGCCTCAGCACACCCTCTCCTTCAAATTAACTGTTTGGTGACTTGTTAGCTCTGAGGCGACCACCTTTTCAACCCGCCCGCGGGGCACCCCGCCACCGCATGGTCCCCCACTCCTCCCCCTTCGTTGCCTCCGCCCCCAGCTCCGCCCCGGGGCCCCATCCTGGAGCAATGGAGTTCTCCGAAGGGCTCTGTTCTAGCCACTGCTGCTAACTTCGCACCCATCGCCTCTGTCGCCACTGGTCACCCTAGGCCAGCCCCCGGCAGCCGCCGAGTCGTGGGCGTCCTGAGCCCAGTGCCGCAGCCAGGACCCGCCCGGCGCGCAGCAGAAGCACGGCGCCCGGGCGCCTCTTGGAGAGCAAAGACTGCGCCAAGACGCTGATCTGAGAACCAGCCAAGAAGCCCGAGCCCGGGAAGGGGGCTACGTGGCTCAGAGCGCTGCAGCGGCTTCTCCGGACAAATAGCCTCCGCTGCCGCTCGCCCAAGCTGCGCGGGTTGGCGGGAGGGCAGCGCGCAAGGACGCAGGGGTCTGCGACGATCCTGCAGGCGCCCTTTGCCCCGGAGCGCACTATGACCTGACGTGCAGGGGCCCTCCTGCCCAGAGCTCCTGCGACCGGGCGGCGGGGGACAAAAAGGTCCGCCGCCAAGCTCCTGCCAGGCCGCCCTTGGGTCTGTAGGAACCCCCTCCCCCAGCCGCCTCCCTCCCTGCGGCCTGGCGCCATGGAGCTCTCCGATGTGCGCTGCCTCAGCAGCAGCGAGGAACTCTACACCATCCACCCGACGCCCCCGGCCGGCGACGGCGGGAGCGGCTCTCGGCCGCAGCGGCTGCTGTGGCAGACAGCGGTGCGGCACATCACCGAGCAGCGCTTCATTCATGGGCACCGGGGCAGCGGCGGCGGGCGCGGAGGATCCGGCAAAGGCTCGGACTCCACAGGCGGCGGCCCCAACCACCACGCGTCGCAGCTGTCCGGCGACTCGGCGCTGCCCCTCTACTCGCTGGGCCCCGGGGACAGAGCACACAGCACTGGCAGCACCAAAGTCTTCCCGGAACGCAGCGGGAGCGGCAGTGCCAGTGGCAGCGGGGGAGGAGGCGACCTGGGCTTCCTGCACCTGGACTGCGCCCCGAGCAACTCGGATTTCTTCCTCAGTGGGGGCTACAGCTACCGGGGGGTCATTTTCCCCACCCTGCGCAACTCCTTCAAGTCCCGGGACCTGGAGCGCCTCTACCAGCGCTATTTCCTGGGCCAGAGGCGCAAATCCGAGGTGGTGATGAATGTGCTGGACGTGCTGACCAAACTCACCCTCTTGGTCCTCCACTTGAGCCTGGCCTCCGCCCCCATGGACCCGCTCAAGGGCATCCTACTGGGCTTCTTCACTGGCATCGAGGTGGTGATCTGCGCCCTGGTGGTGGTCAGGAAGGACACCACCTCACACACATACCTGCAGTACAGCGGCGTGGTCACCTGGGTGGCCATGACCACCCAGATCTTGGCAGCAGGCCTTGGCTATGGGCTCCTGGGCGATGGCATAGGCTACGTGTTGTTCACCCTCTTTGCCACCTACAGCATGCTGCCGCTGCCTCTCACCTGGGCCATCCTGGCCGGCCTGGGCACCTCGCTGCTGCAGGTGGTCCTCCAAGTGGTGATCCCCCGCCTGGCGGTCATTTCCATCAACCAGGTAACTCCTGCCCGGCTGGCTCTTACCCCTGGCTCCCCTGGGTTCTTTAGCAATAGCTTTCTGAGAGGCAGGGCTGCCTGCTCACTTTGAGTCCCCTCCCCCAGCCTGGCACGGTGCCTCGCACCTAGGAGGTCCTGGGTAACAGTGGCTGTAGTTCTCTCAGAGGAGTTGGCACTAAACGACCTCTAAAGTTTCTTCCACCTCTCCCTTTCTACTCTGATGCTGTGAGTAATCCCTCTCTGACATCAGCTTAGAGGCAGTCTTCATTCTGTTCCACACACATCCCCCAGGGTCTGCAGCCTCTGGGGCAGGAGACAGAAAGCAAGGAGAAGCCCCCGGTTAGAAGGGGACCCATTCCTTAACGGCTTTATTTATGAGACTCACAGCAGGGTGTTGTAAGGGACTCAGGGATTCAGAGCTGGGATTTTGTGTATCTCTTTGCCACAAATCCTCAATTCCTGGAGGAATCCACATTAGCTAAGCACGTACCCATTGCTAACGTTGGGAGCCCTGTTTATATTATCTCACCCAATCTTTCAGACAATCGTATGACACCTGTTTTATCTGGGAATGCTTTATTGCCTTGAGGATCTAAGATTATTATTATTTTTTTTATGGAATCCAACCCCAGTGCTTTGAATAAATTAACCTCAGGAATTGGGGCTGGTGTGTGTATGTGTGGGGGGGTAGGATTGGCAAATAATGCAAGTTTTGTTTAATCGAAAAGGGCATTTTGATGTGGATGGTTTGAAATATTTAGGTGGAACCTGATTCTTTAAGTCGCTTTCTCCTTTCTCCCCCTTTCTTCCTATCTTTCCCCATTAAATATGGATGTGTTTATGTGAACAAAGTTCCCCTTGTCTGTGAATGAGAAGGTAGACAGTGCCTCTATTGTTTAAGTTCATTAAAATCAATAGATAATTGATGGCTTGGCACTTCCTTTGCCAAATGTCTGGTAGGTAACAGGAGACTAAATTTGGGGGCTTCTCTAAAACTGAGGGAACATGTCAGCTGAAGGATTTTCACATAGACGGCTGATGAGAGGTGCTGGGACGGGAGGCTGCTTTGTAGATTCCTGCTCTAGCCTCAGCCTCTGGGCCACCTTGGCTGTATTGGAAGCTGAAAATCTCCTCATCCTTGTGGTCAGGTTTGAATAGATGGTTCTTAGAATACCTCCCCCAAATTGGCACAATACCTCTGAAAATTGCCGGTGATTTTTAGAGCACCGGCACCGTGAGAGTGCTTTACCCATCACCGACCTTCAGGGCTTCTAGTCAGTGTGAAATTCTCTTCCTTCCCTAATGGCTCTCTATCCATATGCTCAAGTTAGTTATCTGGTTGGCTGCTTTTACCGTGTTTTTTGAAGTCTCTCTGGGTACAGCAAAGGGTATATAAAGTACATGGCTATCATCATCAGGCATGAGATGAGGCGATGCCAGTTAAGGGCTGACCAGCTGAACTTTTCTTTATTAAGGACAATAATGAATGTGTCTTCAAAATTATCAGGAACCATTAATACCCACATGTGATAAAGACTCAGATGGGGAGCGTATAAAATTGTACTTTGACTGTGTTTCTCAATCCTGTTTGCACGTGGACATGAACCCCCATATCATCTGAATCTCTCACGTTCTTCCGAGCTCTCATTCTTTTTTTTTTTCATTTTCTTTACTATATACTTAGACATCAGCAGCCTGTCTCCCCTCTCTTACTCCTCTTCTTTCCCCATCTCTTCTTTCTTTTCCCTTCTCTTTTTTCACTATGAATTGTTTCCACAATATATCATAGTTACCTGATCAGTTTCAGAAAAAATTCCATTTATGATAACCTACTGCCTTGCATACACTAGCCTTCCTTAGTACTCATTACTAAAAGATTCCATCAAGTCAGTTGGGAATAGTATTTAGAATAACACATCCTAAGTGGCAAATGATGAATATCTTCTAAGTTCTAAGTATAGAGACACTTTTCTTGCCAAATGAATCAAGAAAGTAAATTTTGGCTCCATATTTGTTTTACACTCTACTCAAATACTGCCAGATGGCAGAAGATTAAAAATAACCCCAAAATGTCTTCCCACTCCCACCTCATCATAAACAATCCTTCACTGTGAAAACCAAGGGCCTGGTACATGCAACCCGAGCTCATTCAGCTTTCTGTTTGGGGTAGGGATTATAGATGAACTACCATTTTGAAGTTGAGTCACCTTTTACCGGACTCTGAACAACTAGAGCGCTCTCCTTCCCTTTAGGTGCTGAAAGAACGGGGTGGCTTTGGCTACAAAACGTTTTACTTTGACGCCCTCTAGAGGTTCAAGCTTCGCTCTTAGGTCCTGCAGATGGATGAACTGGAGAATTAATCGCTTAAAAAAAAAAATCTGTGATTTTTGACTAGGTACTGTTTAGTTTTCCCTGCTTGGTAATATACATGGTATGCTAAAAACCTGCTAATGACCTTGCATAGCGACTAGAATAACATCCTAACTCCTTTCCATAGCCTCCTCGAGCCTCTAGGAGCTGGCTGCTGCTTCTCTAATTTTATTTCCTTCTCTTCTCCTCCTCAGGCTCCAAATACACTGTCCATTTTCTGTGTTTCAAATATCCCAACACGTTCCCACTTCTCAGCCTCTGTACCCGCTGCCTGGAACAATTTTTTCCAGGTCTTCACATGACGGACACATTCTCATTATTCCAGACTCAGCTCTAACGCTCTTTTCTAGTGAATGACGTGTCTTATTTTCTCCAGAGCACAAATGCTATCTGAAATTATCTTACTTGTTTAGATTTATTGTGTTTCTTCCCCCGCCCCTACACCTTCAAATGTAAACACCACATTAGGGCAAATACATTGTTTATGGTGTTTACCACTTTATCCTCAGCACCTAGAAAAATGCCGGGAACATAGTAGGTACTCACAGCCCCTGAATAAACAAGACTGTTCATTGCATGGGCAGTATTTTAAAATACCCACGACCCCTGACATTGTGTTGCTGAAAGCTTTCTACACACACGTAAGTCATATGTATGTAAGGCAGCCTTTTACACATAAACGCCTTTGGAGAAATCAAAGCACATTAATAATCCCTTACATTTGTACAGTATTTTACATGTAGCTGAGTGCCTTTACATACACTATCCCATCTAATGATGACAAAAAGATGGTATCATCTTTCATTTCAGAGAAGAATGCTTGATTCTTAGGATATTTAAAGGGATGTCCCAAAGAGGCTGTGCCTAACAGGTGGCGAAAGCAGTATTTGAACCCTGGCTCCACAGCCAGTCTTCCTTCAGAAACCCTTTAGAGGTTGTCCTTCTGAAGACATAAGCCCTTGAAATGGCTCAAGTGCGAGGGGTACCTATTTCCCTACTCAAGAGAGTCATACCTCATATAGCACACGAGTTAACACTTAATGAGAAAGCCAAAGGGAAATCATGAGCGAAAAGTGACTGAATTTCTGGGAATAGGCTCTTTGTAGTAAACTCATCATTCTTCTCAGCTGGAGACAAATTTGTCAACTAAAAGCCATAAACCCGGGCATATCATCTTTCTCGGCATTAATCTTGATTCCCATTAAGAGGATGGCTCCTGTTTAACTTAGCATTTTCAAGAAGCAAGAAGTATACAGTCAACACACGTGAGCAGCTGTTTCATGTCACTGAACATGCCATTTTCAAAAGTTAGCAAGTGAGCCGATGACCACCTTCCCTTAATCCAAGGTACGAGAACCCACCTCTCCATGCTCCCTCCTAAAGGGAATTAGTATCTGTGGCCTGACAGGCTATCAACCAAGCTGCAAATCTCCGCAGATACCCCATATGAAGAGACAGGCTCCTCTGCTCAGTTAGTTCATCACGTGCCGTCCACAGTGGATACAAGAGGGGCCACCCGGGAGGCTCCTTGCTGTCAGTGCAGAGATGGTTTATGTCTCCTCCACTCAGTGAACAGACAAGTTCACTAAAGACATGGACTTCCGACCCAAACAAAGAGCTGTGATCACCCATGTATTTTCTAGGTCCAAAGTGGCATTGGAAAAACTGAGGAAAGGCTCAGTAGGTTCAAAGCCCAGTTCAGACTGCTCTTGTGATGTTCACCCTGACAAAGCTCAGCTATAAGTAACACAAAGCTCAGCTATAGATAACGCCAGGGCTAGTTATGCTCACCCATTTCACGTTAAATCAGCTTCATGTACATGATTCAAACCAATGATACTAGTGCCTTGGTCCAGAGTCCCTCTGAGACACAGATTTTCCCCTCATCTTAAATTGTGTAGCCTGCTCAATTGGTATACCCATCTGAAAATTCATTACAAGATGGCGTTACACATATAAATACGATATTAATGATAAGGTTATAGCAGCTAGCTTCTCTCATGGAGTAGATAATTCCAAGCCCTGTTGCCATAATTAGCGCTCTCCTTTCTTTTAATTGCTGGTGACAATAATATGAACTACCTAACATTTGAAACTCATTTCATTCTCATTCTTCAGCTCATTAGCAATAAGACGGTGAAAATCATTTAGTTATTAGAAAACGGAGAGGCAGCAATAGGTAACCAGAAAGATGGCTTCATTACGCTTTCCTCTGCGGGGCTCTAAAACATTAGAGCTTGTCACTCATTAATGTTCTGTAATCTCGGTGAGCTAGATAAGCCAAGTGTCAAGAGTGGAGGTAACTCTAGCATAAGTCTAGGAGCGAAGCCAGCCAGGTAGGCAGGTCCAGGTTGGTTAGTGCTCAAGGTCACGTTGTCAGATTTGAATTTCCCATGCAGCACTTTCTCTCCTGTCTTACATCCCACAGAACGTAGAGACTAGAGCCAGAAAAGTTCTAATTAAATCATGGTCATTAAACTGGCTAATAGCAAGGGACTTTTACCCTTGGCCTTTACAATGTCCTTTGAGGGGACAATGCCTTGTGATTTACAGTATAAGTAGGTGAGGTCAGGCAAGAAGCAGGCTGTGCATGTGCTTTCAGATGCGTTTCTGGTCATTTAAATGAAGAAT